TGGTGTTGAAGTAAGTTTTTTACAAGTTGTCGTCGCTCAGAGCTCACTGCTTTGCGACCTATTGCATTAATTATGTGTTAATTTTAAAATTACTGAAAAAACTTTGAAAAATTATAAGATTTGCTATTTTAAATAATCAACTATGACGCTAATAGATAAATATTATACACAATAATGCGTCAATGCATTTAATCATACACACTGTCAAAATTACGAATGATTGTGAGTGTGCTATAAATTTGACCAACATTTTTTGTATATGTTTGTACAATTGTTTATTTCTACGATAAATAATGAAAAAAAATTTTAATTTTGTGTGCACGTTTTAAATGACTAATGTAAACACATTTAAAAAATACAGTACCTCTCAACAATGTGATTAATGCATACAAAAATTTTACATGACTTTCTTATTTTAATAGATTGTGCTATAATTTTGTACGGTACTGTATATTTAAGTTTTTAAATTTCTACCTCAGTTATAAACGATATGAAGCGAGCATCGTTTCTTGCTCCACTATAGTTTGTTTCTGTGTTTGGTTTTAAAAAAAATAATTTGATTAAAACCAGCTTCACATTTCCAAGATTTTATAGAGCTGGTTTGATCAGAATTAGAAGGTTCTGTTGTTGCAAAATGTGAAACTTAGGAGTATTGTCTTTCTCTTTGAAATAATTTTTATCATGATGCTTGACAAAAAGTTTATTAGTTCTTCTTTAATTGATATGAATGATATCTGACAATGGTTGAATTGCAGGCTATGGAAAACTTTTGAAAACTAAAGTTAACTCAAATAAGTGACAGGAAAGTGCATTTAACTCAATGACAGGTTTTAAATTTCATCTAATATTCTTAGCGTTCATAATATTTATGATCATGTTCTTAAGGATCAAAAATTATGATCATATAAAGTTGACACCCTCCCTAAATTAACACATTTTTGCTATCATTTAGGTTAAAATTGAAATATATACTGAATAGGCATTCTATATTTTTCAACTATTTAAAATTTAAATAACATTTAAAATGAGGCTATTCTCAGAAGCAGGTAACATTTAAAATGAGGCTATTCTCAGAAGCAGGTAACATTTAAAATGAGGCTATTCTCAGAAGAACATTTTTTGATAAAAAAGAGTTAATTTGTAGCTCAAAACTGGAGAGCAACTCTTTTTGCGCCACGATATTTTTAAACTTTCAGAAATCTTTACATAATTGATTATTGCAAATAAAATTACATTGTGTTCGTTTAGAAATTTGGGTTTTTGAATTAATTCACATAGTCTGTGTCACACGATTTAAAAAATAAATTTCTGGATTCCAATCTGAGTACTTGTATTTCCGACCGGAACCGGAACGAAGGAAATATTACGAATTCCGAACAAAATTTTGTATGAAATTGCGGTGCACCCCGCTTAGCAATTATGATAATTTGTTTTCAAAATTTTCTAAAAATCTTACCCTGTTATTTGCTTTGTGTATTGACGTTCAGTGCCGTAGCAACCTAAAATTACGCTCGAGACTATTATTTGCGCCCCCCATTCCTGAAAGATATTTTTTATCTTCTATTAAGCTTATTTCAAGTTACTGAAAACCATAAAATTGTACTTTAAAAGATTTGTTAAATATTTACAGTATTTTACAATTTTTTCTTGATTTAACAACGGTTAAAATGGTGAAAATAATCGAAGGCAAAGCGTAAATTAACATTTTTTGCTAACTAAAAGCGTTTAAAAATATAGCTAGTAATAAAAATAAAGATGCACTTCTTAAAAGTTTCGAGGTCATAAATTCCGCCGTCATCGGTTAATATGCGTCTCCCTGAGAAATACAGTATTTTTCTGTCATTTAGACAATTTGTGTGTACATGTCATTTAGACAATTTGTGTGTACGTGTGTGTTTCATAATAATCATACTAAGCAAAGTATTTTATGATTACTTTATTGAATATTCAAATTAAATATTAAGACTTTGTTAAAAATATGGATAAAATTATATACCGTGGTTGAGCAAGATGTCATTCTCTATAAAAGCAGTACGAAGACACAAAAACGTTTGGTGAGGAAAAGTTGGGTTGCCCCGGACGGCGGGTAACTCCAGACACTTGACGTTTAGCTTGAACTAGAGAAGCTATTTAATTTTAAATGCTACAAAAACATTATTTCAGTGAAAAAATGGCATATGCAAAATATCTTTCATATTATGTCAAAGAGATTGACTGCGAGTGCATGATATTGTTTCCCACCTCCAGGAGAGCAATATATTGTCATATTTGATTCACATATTGTAATACCTTATTTTTATGTAAACTAATAACTTTTTATTAATTAAAGATACATTTTTATTTAAAATAGTTATTAAAAAAAAAAATCGTTTAATACTTTAATTCACTGGTTTTAAAACTATGATTGGGTGTTTGATTGGCTGGTATCGGACACATGTTTGGAGGGTGGTTCCGGACAACTAAATCCGTTTACATATTAAAAATGAGCAACTTTTTTTATATAAATAATAATACATTTAATATAAAACACAAACCCATAATTTTCATAAGTAAAAAGCTAGTGTTTATACTTCTAAATGGTGACATTTTCATTCTCATTCATTATATATCAGAGGCAATTTTTAAAGGCGATTTTTTTTTAAATTTGTTAACTAATTATATATTATATTTGTGTCACACGAGTAAAAAAGAGGTAAAGCATACTTAAGCTATGTGTCTGGGGCAACCCTCTAATTTTGAAACTTGTCTTTTTATATTCAATCTTTACACAAAATAAATAAGTTATATATATTTTTTAGCATATGTATAGGCTTCCTAGTTGATATTTTGTTACATTAAAAACACTCTAAAATAAAACTCTATAATATTTGTAGTTGACAAAAATAAAAGCTAAAAACATATTATAGACAAGCTCAAAAGAATTAGAAAACATTAATAGTTTGCTGAACTACAAAGGTAATATACATAAAAGTAATGTATAACAACTCCAATTACATAAACCTGAGTTTTATAAACTAGATTATAAAATTTTACTAATGGATAAACCGCAAAAAAAAAAAGTTAAAAAAAATTTGTATTTTTCTCTTGTGGGTCTTTATAATTTTGTATTTTTGGTTTAATTATTTAAAGAATACCTAACTACTGGAATGATCAAACGAAACAAATCTAGGATTTTAAATAAGTACATATTGAAATAAATTTTTTTTGTTAACTACTGCAATGGTCAAACGAAACAAATCTATGATTTTATATAAGCAGATATTGAAATATAATTTTTTAGTTAAGTTAGTTAAAACTGGTGGTGGCGGTCAAAATTTAAAACAAAGAGAGTTGGGTCAATTACTTTTTGCTTTTCATTCTCGCATTTTTTGTAACCCTTTATCAAAGAAATTTTATATTGAATTATTTACTTCTGTTTTTAGACACTGCCAAAGTTTAAACTTCAAAAAATTAATAAACAATTGTCAATTTTGGCCTAATTTAGTCACTCTTGATCATTATATTTAGAAATATAAGGTTATTATAACTATTTTCAGATGTTTGGTGTAATTAAAGTTGCATTTAAAAATGCGTAGAAGTCAGCTATAAAATTTCAAATAACTTTTAATTTAGCTTGAAAGAAATAATAAAAACTGCTTTACATTAAAAGTTTGAAGTGGCAAGCGTCAACTAGGAACCAAAAAGTTAAAAGTAAAGGAAATTATTTTTCGTAAATTATTGTTTTTAAAACGGTGTAACAATGAGAGAGAGAACTGACCTCAATTTTAAAATGTTAATATTTATGATACTTATATTGAAAATATAGATATAAGATAGTAGCTTGACAATAAATAAACGATGAAAAGTTTAATGACAATTGCTTATCTATCTATTGCGCTATAGACATAATCGTACGATTGTATGTCTTTTGGCTATAGACGTAACCGTACGATTGTATGTCTTTATAAATGTCAATGTTTGATTTGAATTAAACATAATTTGAATTACACATTTATAAAGACGCATATGTTAACAAATTATAATCTTTCAAATAAAAGGATCATACATATTCATAAGAGAAACATTCCTATCGTACGCAATAAGATAAAAATGAAAAAATTTATCAAGAAGATAAATAGAATTTTTAAAACTATAGTTTTTAGAAAATAGAGGAGGAAGAGAGACTGAAAAAAATGAAAGAGCTTTTTCATTAAATTGAAAAATTACGTCGCTAATTTCCACTAACTAAACGTAACAAATTTAGAAGTTACAGAAAATCATCATTAAAAAATTAGTAAAAAATTTATTTTAAATATTTCTTATATAGCCAAATTTAGCATTTAATGAATAGTAAATTATATGATTGGCTTATTTATAATTCATACAGCTTTATCATTGGTCAGTTTAACTTGTTGTAAAATACTCATGAATTTTTAATTGCAGTGGTTTAATGTTTTGTTTTTTTAAGCGCCAAAGCAGAAAACAAACATTCTTATTTAAAACAACCATTTGTATTCAAAAGATGTTAACCCAAGCATTAATTGTAAAAAAAGAATTGTTATTTATTTTGCACAAATTTATTTTTATGGAATCGTTTCACCACATTTATATAAGTACACATCTAAATAAATAGACTTTACTAATTTTATTATAACAGACTAGACTTACAATTGATAAACAATAGTTATTTTGTTACATAGCAACATGAAAAGGTCATTACAAATAATTTAAAAAACGGATTTGCAATTCAAACTTTGTCTGAAACAGTTTGTGCTAAGATGTTGCAAATGTTTGATAAAGTTGATATACGAAGCGAATAAGTTTACGCTGAATACTTCACTTTCTTGTTTTTAGTAAATTCTGACGTAGTATTTGTTATTCAATGACGTTTACATAACAGAGGACTAAACAAACGTAACAGAACATATTTAGTGTTTTAAATGAAGTTCATCAATAAACTTTTTTTAATATGAAAACAAAATGCTAAAAAACTTTTAGTTAGATTTTACATTTTAGTTTTGATACTCTAATTGCTTGGTACTTTATTTAGCATCTTAGTAAATTAAAAAATTATAATATGGCTAACAGACCTCGTGGTTATGGTTTATCAGCTGAGTTGGCACGAAAGAAAGCCGAAAAATTTGATCCCGACGTATCTAGCGATTGCATGTATTGGATTAGAGACGTACTTGTTGATGGAGGTTACACGGATGAAGCTTCAAAAATAATAACAGAGGTAAATTATGTACTTTAAAAAAAAGCATTTGAGCAATAAAAATACACAATTTATTATATAGTTAAGTTTTCTTTGGTTCTCTTTCATTTTATCTTTTTTACCTTTATTTTTGCCAACATAATAAAAGTTTGTATAAATATATATATATATATAAAAAAAAGAATTCTATATAAAAAATATATAATAAAATAAAAATATAAAAAATATAAAAAATATAAAATAAAAAATATAAAAAAAAAAGATTTTGTATAAATATATAAAAAAAAGAATTCTCTAAAGTTATTGAGAAGTAAAACAAAAATAACTTCATGTCAAATCAGCAAAAGATATCAGTAAAAAAATATCAGTAAGAAAAAATGTGGATGGTAGGAAAGAATGTATGACATAAAAATATCGATGTTGAAAAACTTTTATATGAATGCAAAATGCAAAAATTCTATATGAATTATATATCTTGTTTGGTCAAATTTGATTCTATTTAATTTTATTGATGTCACTCTTGAGTAGTTTCGAGAACTTTTCAATATTTTTATCGTTTTGTTTTTGCGCAAGTTTCATTGAAGCTGCGAAAACTTCAACAGCCAATTAAAAAATTAATGACACTTACAATACCATTCATATCTTTAACGATAGAATAAACAATTGGTAGATTATCACTTAGAATTAATCCTGTGAAATCAAAAAAAATTTATGAATCATTAAAATTATAGCTTCTACCTTTAAAGATTATCCTCATTTCAAAGTATAGAAAACTGTAAAAATCATTTTCAAAAAGTGAAAAACAATGTATCGCACCACAAAACCTAACGAAATTTTGCTCTGCAATAATGCAAAAAAAAATAATTTTAACCCATTTATTTAAACTTTATTTTTCTTTTATAACAAAACTAGTACTTTCAACCTTTCACGGCGATTTTTTTTGATTTATTTAAATCAATCTGGGAGAAAATATTGCTCCGATTACAAAATTTTCGAATACGGATGTAACGAAAACAGTTTATTTTATTTTTACGCGCCAATTTTCTCCTAATAACCTAATAAAAAAATTCATAATGGTTTCTGAACTATTTTTTTACCGATAAAATAACTTACTATCAAACTCGTGGAACTCCATCCATAATGCATTCATAATGTGTATATCTAAACTTTACAACATATACCTTCTGATGACTGATGTCGTAAATATTTACGTATTTCATTAAAAAAACAGTGATTTTTATGTCTATTTTGCTAAAAACTACTATTTAACTATAATTTAGACATATAGTTGTAAACTGGAATTTAAGATCCAATTGAAATTTATCTTTATAAGTAATAATATTGATAGTTAGGGAAACCGTCATTTAGTCTATCCAGCTGATTATTTTTAGTTTTATAGTACTAGTTTTTTAAATTAATTGAACTATAATATCTATATAGCTTTTAAAGAGCAGATTTTATAAAAAAACCACACGATATATATTTACACTTAAAAATACATAATATGCAAAAATACATAAATATATATCTATAGCCCTAATTCAATGATAAAGATGGTAATTTTTTGCAACTTTTCATAAAGATTGAAAAATTGCGGACGTTTTGGACCAAATTTCATATTTCTAAAAATAAAGCAATGGGAAATTTTAAGGCAAAAAAAATCGCCGTGTTTTCGTAAGTTTAGTTTAAAGGTTAGTTTCCGCTTATCCGTTTTTCAACGGGAAACGAAAAATAATCACGTGAGCAGGCGCAGTTTTCTTTTGGACAAATAAAAACCTTTATTACGCATGATTTTACCCGTTCCCGTAGAAAAACGGATGAGTGGAAACTCGCCTTTAAGGCGAGTTTCCACTCATCCGTTAAGAAAGCAATTTTGATTTTTTCAAACTGTTTAAGTTTATATAAGGAAACCCTTCTTTACTAATTTTATTTAAAAATAAAGTTATTTACTAAATTTCCTACTAAATTATTTTCCTATTTTATCATAAATGATAACTATTCGTTGAAATTTCTTTAAAAACAACAAAATAAGAAGTATGATATTTTCAGTTAATTTTACAGCACTAATATAATTTATTATCCTATGCGCAAAGTTCACTCGTATCAGTGACGCATCTTCAATAAATACGTTACGCAAAATCAATTAAAGACACTTTAAGAAACAAAACAATTTATCAAACGGTTCAATTTATATTAGTCACTTTACTTTTCCTAAGAGTAGGGAAGTTTAAAATGTTTTGCGTACGTACGTACGGATTTGAATTGAGATATTTTTTATATACATGAGACGTCAAAGTTACTTTTCTAATATAAATTGCTTGGCTGTTATGATCGCTTATTTTCTGTAATTTTTGCATCCGGTATTATATGTCAAACAAGTGTGTAATTTTCTTATACCGGGATTTACCGGTATCACGGCATAAGTTTTATTTTATTTGATCTAAAATCATTATAAAATTTATAGGGTCATAATTTTTAAACGTTAAGAGAGATTATTGTCATAATTTTTAAACGTTAAGAGAGATTATTGTCATAATTTTTAAACGTTAAGAGAGATTATTAAATTTAATATTTATCGATGAATATAAATTTAGTTAAGAATGGTTGAAAAGTTGTTTATCAACTTGTTGCTTTCACATAAGGGGCAAGTTTCGCCAAAATTTAAGGGCTTTTTTGTTCCCATGGCTCCAAGCATTGGAATCAAATTGCATCTCAAACATCAAAAAATGCTGCATCCGCCCCTGAAGAAAAAAAAAGAGCTGTAATCTAAACTTGTGCTAGAAACCCCTTGTTTGTTATTTTATACAAACAAGGGGTTTCTAACACAAATTTAGATTACAGCTCTGTTTTTTTTTCTTCAGGGGCGGATGCAGCATTTTTTGATGTCTGAAATGCAATTTAATTCCAATGCTTGGAGCCATGGGAACAAAAAACCCTAACATTTTGGTGACACTTGCCCCTTATGTGAAAGCAACAAGTTAATAAACAACTTTTCAACCATTCTTAACTAAATTTGTATTCATCGATAAATATTAAATTTCATACAATAATCTCTTAACGTTCAAAAATTATGACCCTATAAATTTTATACATATTGCAAAGCTATCTAGAGATCCTGTTTCTACTAGTTTGATATTATAAAAAGTAGTATACAATTATTCTTTAAGCTATATTTGTCCAAAAACGTAGCAGCGACTGGTTGAGGTGTTGAATAAATTTTTCTTTCATTATGACTACTCTTGTTGTGATAATGAAAAGCGTCCTTGATCTATAACTTACTATAACTTTTTTTTTACTGGTGAATCTTAACATATCTTCAAGTAATAGTATTACTACAGCCGAGCCTTTCCATTCCAACTTTTATTGGTATAACAAAATTGTTATTGCGTTCTTTTTCTTTTCGGAAATATTGAGAATTTCTTTTAAATTGATAATTGCTTTAAATATAGGGGAAGGTTGCAGTTTCCTAATATGGTATAACTTTTTTTACCGGTAAGCTACTGATTTTTTTGCGATTTTTTTTGGTTAAGTATATTCATACAAGTTTGACGAAGTTATATATTTTAATTTCTTGGTTGTATAGTTAGTATTCTTTCATTGTACTATTGTTAAAAAAATTTAATATCCCTGTTATAACTTTTTTTTATTCAATATTTTGCAATTACATCAAAACTACGTCAAAATCATCAAAAGTTTATTGTATTCTAAATTTTTTATGCTTGTCTACTTCTAATTCCATGGGTTATATGAGATTATACATAAGCTGTTGTCGTGCTATTTAAATTATGATAATACTTGGAAAAGTTGCTTAAGATGATACGTTTTAAGACGCTCAAGATGAGATGCGGATTTTTATTAAGAAAAACGCGTTTTTTTAAAGTTATTCCCCACGGATCTTTCTCTGATATTTGAAGAGCAAAAGTTTTTTCAAAAAATTTCGCGAAAGTATTGCATAAGTATTGCGAAAGTATTGCAAGTATATAATTTTAGAGATTTAGAGGAAAGATTTATTATTGTTTTTTATGGTTTTAATGTATTACTTTTTGCTTTAGTCCTAAAAGATTTTTTTTTTTTTTTTTTGTGATTATTTTTTTGTTATTTTGAGTTTTTTTGAGTTCCATAAAAAAGCTCATCTTAGGAAACTGGTTTCCTACGATGAGATGATAGAAAATAACGCAATTTTATTTAAAATTCATTTATATTCTTTAAGAGGAAAGACTAAATTCTGATAATCTGCAAAAATTAATTATAAACATAATATTTTGGCTACAAAAAAGCAATGCAATGTTAACATGCAACAAGTTTTCAAATATCTTTCTAGCATTGCAACAAATTAATTTATCTTGTTTTTACTTCAGCTTTAGCTTAGGTTGTTTAAGACACGTACATTTGTAAGATTTTATTTTTAGGAGGTGATTTAATATTCGAGCAACTTCTGAATTTTCCGAATCAAAAAAAAATAACTTATGCATTGTATATCATTACCAAATGTAATGCCTGTTGAGCTGTACTACTCGTCAATATGTTTAATTTATCTAATGTTATTTTATCTCCTTATATTCATCACATTCACTAAAATTGTCATCAGAATCTAGCAAAAGTCAACCATCTTTAATACATTTTGCTTCCAAAGATTTTTAATTTTTGTAAAAAACATCACATACTATTAAATAAAGTTCATGGGCATAATAAACTGTTAAAAAAAAGTTCATGGGCAAACTAATATTCAATACCAATTAGCGGTCCTAATCATATCATTAGGGATGTACTCAGTCAGTAACACTTTGATTTGCCTTTTATTTATAAATTAAAATCTGGCAGTTTCTTTACTACTAAATCCACAATTTTACCTGCAAGAAGTGATTTGGTTATTGAAGTCATTTCCAGGTTCTAAAAC